CTGTATGGAGAACAAAAAATGCCACTAATTAGTCATATATCATACGAAACACAGATACATAATCTGGAGACCATCTCTCTTTTTCAATCAATCGTCAAACGCCCAAAGGTTTAAAGGGAGAATGGGGGTAGAACAACAGATCGCACAGCTTGTGGCTTTTTCTGTCCTGAGTTCTAACTACCAAAGGGAAAATAGTTGCATGGTTGATGGAACTTTATCAGATGTTTTCTACTATTACAGCATCAACTGAACCTGAATATGTTTGGGTTGAATTTTATTTTTCATTTTTGGTGAGCCACCAATAGGTCGAATTGAACACATACAAAATAGTGGAAAACTAAAACATGGTAGGAAAGGAGCAATGTGTATGCTGATAGCAGTATTTGAGGTTTTAAATAAAAAAGTACCTCAGCACGAGCACAGACATAAAACCTGCGTCCAAAATTAGCACCTCGCTTCCTCACAACCCGAGCAACACAGGGTTCCCTATGGCCCTTGCAAAGTGGTATGCTATTCTGCATGACTTGCTGCAACCTTTGCCACTCCATTAGAGCAAAATTATTCTTCTCTTTCTCCAAAGAACAGACATCTACTTCATCCTGATCCTCAATTGATGCACTTGAGTTCAATTCACACTGCTTGGGACTGCCACTTTGATTCTCTGGTATTGGAGTTTCATTTGACAGACGATTAGAATCTGGAACATCTATCTGATTAGTTGAAGTATCAGTACCATTGCCGACACCGTTGCTAGGGATTGAACTTTTCTGGAAAAATGACCTCAATGAGAGTTGAGAGCTCCTTTTTGCCTTTTTCTTTGGTTCACTGCTGCACATTGTTTTGGTACGTTGACCACCTAAAGTCACCAAGGTGTTACAAGTATCCTCCATAGAAAAACCATTGGAATGCTCATTTGTTTTTGAACTGAGAACTTCAAAGTTTTGGCTCGAAGAAGAACATGAGTTTCCACTGGGTACACCGGGTGTGCTACAGTGGTCAGACGAGCTTCTTTCTCTCTCACTGCAACTCTCTTTAATGATATCTCCATCTGAATTAACTTGTTCAGCAGTTTGTCTTTTCATTAACACTGATACTGCACAGGACTAAGGGTTCAGTCAAGTTTGAGTAGGCATAAAGAACAAGCGCTTCAGGGGAAAAGAACAGATTGAAACTGACAGATGATCAAGTAAAAGAGTAAGAGAGCATATAGCATTCACATGCTTTAATATAAATAAATTCAACAGATCACTAAATAGAAGCTAAACCAAGAAAGCAGTCGCTTCCTTGAATTTTCAAGTGTGCATCATAAAGGGCTTATCACTTGATGTAATTTGCAAGACAGCATACATAGAAATATCTATATTAAAAAGAGACCATCAGCAAAAGGGGAAAAATAATTTCATACCCAGGGTTTGCTGGAGCCCATGAACCATTGGAATGTATCTAGCAGATAAAGATGGGGTGCTATGCTGGAAGACACTAGGAATTTCCAGCAAACTTGTGTAAA